CGAGAGTGATGGTACATTAACCTATTGGTAGGTGAAATGTATGGGTCTCTGGTCTCCACCTCTCCAACATTGCAAGAATGAATTTGGAGTCAATGGTGCAGTTGGAGATCTTTATCACGTGTCCAAAACCTGCATATTCCAGATAAGGGACGATAAAAGGGTCGGGAGCCAGGTATTTGTGCGAATGGATTCTGAATCTTTGTGTATCCTGAGATCATAATTAAACAAGAGTAAGATTAATTAAGATGAACAACACGTTATTTGAAGTATGAAAAATGTATAACCAAAGAAGAGACTTACAAATGCAGCAATGTTTTCCCTTGTGCCTCTGTGAGTATCTCCCATTGTTAGAAGGGCCATTCTTCAGAACGCTTGATAGAATGAAAGACTTAGGAAGAAATAGAGAGTATGATAGACTTAAGAAATATTTCGTAGCAGAGAGTGAGAGTTGTGTGGGTGTGAGAGATGTTTCATAAGGTATGTATTTATAGGCAAATAAGTTTGATGTAGTGGTTGCATGCCTGCGAGGTGTCACATTTGCATGCTTAGGGAGTTACACATATGCATGCATGCATTTACAAAAAATGTAAGGTGTCACTCTTGCAGGCTAGGTGGCAGCCCATGCATGTATCACGATTGGACAGTAAGGGATGCGCCATCTCACTTGGCGAAATAGTACAAAAATGAATGGTGTCGCCACCCCATTTGGCGAATAAGAGGTGTCACGTTTTACAGCATTGGCTCAGGCTACGTGACAGCCTTTGGGATTCCTTTCTCTGTTGCATGCAAGGCCATTGGAGTTGATGGGTGGCAGGCTTACACAAAACATTTATGTGTGTAGAATAGGGCCAGACTAGGTGGCAGCATAAGCCCATGCATGTATCACGATTGGACAGTAAGGGAGGCGCCATCTCACTTGGAGAAATAGTACAAAAATGAATGGTGTCGCCACCCCATTTGGCGAATAAGAGGTGTCACGTTTTACAGCATTGGCTCAGGCTACGTGACAGCCTTTGGGATTCCTTTCTCTGTTGCATGCAAGGCCATTGGAGTTGATGGGTGGCAGGCTTACACAAAACATTTATGTGTGTAGAATAGGGCCAGACTAGGTGGCAGCATAAGCCCATGCATGTATCACGATTGGACAGTAAGGGAGGCGCCATCTCACTTGGCGAAATAGTACAAAAATGAATGGTGTCGCCACCCCATTTGGCGAATAAGAGGTGTCACGTTTTACAGCATTGGCTCAGGCTACGTGACAGCCTTTGAGATTCCTTTCTCTGTTGCATGCAAGGCCATTGGAGTTGATGGGTGGCAGGCTAGGTGGCTGCATAAGCCCATGCATGTAATATTATTGGCAGCCTTGGGGGGTTGCATCACTTACTTAATTGAAATTTTTTGCCTTACGTTGAACATAACATTCATTCACATAAACTGTAAAATTTTCCAACCTTCGAATCAGTCATCTAACCTTCAAACATTCCAGCATTCATACCTTCATATAATCAATAAACCCAAAACATTCCCACCTTCATACCTAAAACAATTCTACACAATGGCCTCTTCACCACAATTTGTTGTCAAAGCACATTTCAACGGTGAGACATACATGTGTCCCACAGTTGGGTTTTTGTTTAGAAACACCGACAATGTCCGATTTCTCTTAAACGGGAAAGCAAATTTCTCGTACTTTAAGAAAAGATTGGAGGCCAAACTTGAACGAGGCCCGGTCTCCCAGATATTTTATCAGAGTCCAGTCTTTTTTGGAAACAACCAAGTTATTTTTTATAAGGTTGCAATTCAAGATGACGAGGATTTCCAGAACATGATTTCCAGCCATGTCTATTCTGGAAACGACTCTATTGAGTTGTACGTTCTGTTTCAAGAGCCTCCGGTGACACAGGAGGTAGAGCATCCGGTGACACAGGAGGTTGATCCTTTGGAGAATGAGCAAGATGAGGTGGATGCAGTTGATGATGAAGAAGAAGATAACGAGTTAGAGTTCGATGAAATGGTGAACGACGATTCTGACGATGATGGCATCCCAAGTATTCCTACCGACAAAATCTACACACCACCTACGCACATGACAAACTTCAACATGGGCGGAGATGAACCTTCTACGGACTTGTTTTTCCAACCGTATATGCAATCAGATGAAAATTTAAAAGAGAAGGACAAGTTTCGTAATAGAGAGGAATGCATAAGGGCCATCAAAAAATTTCACATGCTCAACTCGGTTGATTATAAGGTGGATCGTGTAAACCCGGAAAGGTACAAGATCAAGTGTGTCCACCCTGACTGCATGTTCAAGCTGACCGCTTCATACAGACTAAGGGGTGACTGCTGGGTCATAGGTTCCATGACTACCCATACTTGTGTAAGTTCCACTCAATCACAAGACCACCGAAAACTTAACCATGATCTAATCTGTCAAGAAATCCTACCCCTGGTCAGCAACGACCCTTCTTTGAAGGTGAAAACAATCATCTCCCACATCACCACGGTTTTTAACTACACTCCGTCTTACCGTAAGGCGTGGTTAGCAAAGACTAAGGCGATTGAAAGGGTGTACGGAAACTGGGAGGAGTCATACCGAGAACTTCCCCGCTACCTAAATGCACTCAAGACATATTCTCCAGGTAGTGTTTATGTTCTGGAAACATTGCCAGCGTACGCCTAAGATGGTAGTCTACTACATGGCAACGGAATATTCAGTCGCGTCTTTTGGGCATTTCAACCATGCATCACAGGGTTTGCATCATGCAAACCAATTCTACAAATAGACGGGACTTGGTTGTATGGGAAGTACAAAGGCACGCTTTTGATGGTAGTTGCACAAGATGGCAACAATAACATTTTCCCCGTTGCGTTTGCCCTTGTCGAGGGGGAGACCGGTGGTGCTTGGAGCTTTTTCCTGAAAAATCTTCGTACACACGTGGCTCCTCAACCAGATCTCTGTTTGATCTCGGACAGACATGCCTCCATTGAAAGTGCCTATAATAATCCGGCAAATGGTTGGCATGACCCTCCTTCTACGCATGTCTATTGCGTCAGGCATATCGTCCAGAATTTCTCGAGGGAGGTCAAGGACAAAACATTGAGGAAAGCGGTGATGAATGCGGGATACGCACTAACACAGCCCACATTCAAATATTACCGTAACGAGATCCGTTTGTCTAACCCAGAAGCCGGTACGTGGATAGACAATATACCGGTCGAAAAGTGGACTAGGTCATACGACAATGGCCAAAGATTGGGGCATATGACAACAAATCTTATTGAATCAATGAATGGGGTATTCAAGGGCATACGAAACCTCCCCATCACTGCCTTGGTGAAATCCACATATTTTAGGATGGCTGCGTTATTTGCCAAAAGAGGTGAAATGTGGTATGCGGTCTTGCAATCAGGACAACTATGGAGTGAAAGCTGTATGAAATACATTAAGGCTGAAAGTGCTAAAGCCAACACTCACATGGTTACACGGTTTGACTGCCATAGCCACAACTTCATTGTGAAAGAGACAATTGACCACAATGAAGGCCTGGCAAGACAAGAATACAGGGTCATTTTACCTTCTCAATGGTGCGATTGTGGCAGGTTTCAAGCTTTTCGTATGCCTTGCTCTCATGTCATTGTCGCTTGTACGCATACCCATCAAGACGCGCTTCAACTGCTCTCAAACGTTTATAAATCTGAAACGTTGCTCACTGTTTACAATAACAACTTTCCTTTGGTGGCAAAACCGGACTATTGGCCTGAATACAATGGTGATATAGTTTGGCACAATGACCAAATGCGAAGGAACAAGAAGGGTCGTCCCAAAAGCAGGCGCATAACAACAGAAATGGACGATCTTGACAGGTTGGAAAGAAAGTGTGGTTTATGCCGTCAGGTCGGACACAATCGCAAAAACTGTCCGAATCGGGCGTCTGGCTCGACCACATAAATTTTGTAATACAATAAATCTTTTCAATATTTGTGTTGTAAACATTATGGGTTTTCCGTTAATAAAACTGTTCACACAATTTAAGAAATTCAATATAGGAAATAACATTAGGGTTTTCGCGTACAACAATGATTAACGATATTCAATCTAGGAAATTACAACTGTTAACACAATTTCATCTGACCCATGCATCATCAGCATTACATCACTGTCTGTTTTGACTTCCTCCAACCATACATTAGGTCTTCCTGTCGCATGCGAGGTTGTTGTTCGTTTTCGCTGGATCCTTCGAATTTTTTCCCCCTCGGCGATGTCTCCATCTAGCCACCGCATCAACTCCCGCTTCAGACGCTCCATGGAGTGAATGTGCCAGAATTTCATTTTCATCGCAGATTTCGTGGCGGAGAATATAACGTAACCATCTCTGCTAAAAATCATAGGCGACGTCATTACGTAAATAAGGGAGTACAAAATAAAAATACAGTGCGAGAAAGTGTGAGAAATTTCAAAGAAACGGACGAATTATTTATAAAACAGCAAAAAACCCTAGTTTTGCCCTAGGCGCCAAGTGAGATGGCGCCTCCTCTTCTTTTTAAGGAGCATGCGCCATCTCACTTGGCTAAAAGCCAAGGGAGGCGCCAAGTGAGATGGCGCCTAGGGCAAAACCCTAGGTGCATGCGCCAAATGAGATGGCTCCTCCTTTGTGGAGCCATCTGAAACATGGTTATTTGCGTAATTTTTTCCGAAACCCGGTTATTTGCGAAATATTTTTTTAATACATGGTTATTAATAAAAAAAATTCTTATCCTAGGCTATGAATATTGTACCCTACTTTATCTCCTTTATTTTGATATACAACAGTAGTCTTCTTGTTATCATTCTTTGTTCATTCTTCCTACTTCATTATCTTGCACCAACACTTACGACTCATCACTCATTTTTGACTACCTTGGTGGCAGGTTAAATACTAAGTAAATGCATTAATGTATCATGCTTACCAAACAGCCCTTGTAGATAAATATGACAAAATAGAAAAACTACATAGTGATTATGCTTGTGTGATGGTACCCTTGTGATTATAAGGGTAATATTGTGCAAAATAAAGGAACAAAGTAAACTCCATAACACTTAATCCAGCCAGAAGCCAATAAAAGTAATCAAGATGTGCCTTATTGATATTGTCACAAAACCAACTTTCATGACCATCTTTGCCACTCAAATTTTGAATCAGAGAAATGAGAAATCCACTTAAAAAGCTTCCAACACCAACAATACTTAAGTAGAGTGCAAGTCCCATGCTTCTTAGTTCATTTGGGACTTGATCATAGAAAAACTCTTGAAGACCAACCATAGTAAAAACCTCAGAAACTCCAAACAAAAAGTATTGAGGAACCAACCACCATATACTCATTGGAACAGTTGCATTAGGATCATCAACAAGACCATACTCTTTTGCTGTTTTAAGTCTTTTAATCTCAACAATGGCTGCAATAACTATGGTGAATATGGATATAAAAATTCCAGTTCCAATTCTTTGAAGCATTGTGATGCCTGAGGGTTTTCCTGTGATAACTCGTGCTATTGGCACGCATATACAGTTGTAGACAGGGCTGAAGAGAATAATAGCGATACCATTAATCGATTGAACTGAAGCGGGTGGTATATCGAAACCGGGGAATATTGTTCTCTCCATATACCTCCCTTGTTTGGTGAAGAATGTAAAAACTTGAGCATAGACGATACCATAAACCAAAGCTGTAGTCCAAATTTAAAATAATTGAGTATTTTGAATTGGTCTAACCAATATAAAAACAATAATTAAACATCTAACTATATATTATAGTGTAAAAAATGAGATTAATTTCTTTTGATATGCATAAAAATATAAATTTACTATAATAGAATATGATATTTTTATTAAAAGTTAATTATTTACATTCATATATATGAATACTTTTTTAAAAAAAAAGTATATTTAATTTATTTTAAATTTCATATTTTATTTTTAAATTAATAATTGATAAATTATTGAACGCTGAAAAACCTAGATTAAATCTTATTATAAAAATAATATTAATTGAAAGATGAACTCTTAAAATTATGTCAATAATCTTAAAAAATTTAATAATTATTTTTAAGATGATTTTTTAATTTTTTTTTCACTTATAATTATTTAATACTTAATTTTTTAAAAAATTTTCACTTATATTTATTTAATATTTATTTCAAATATATAATATTTATAAATAATTAAAAATATAAAATTAGTTAAATATCTCAATGCATTGGACCACAATATAGTTAATATTAAAAAAAAAAACCAACAACAATTCACGGATTTATTAGCTTTAATACACAGTTCAAAGATTTATACAACACTCACCAAATTATTATTTAATATTTCTAAAAGCAATTATATTATAATGTGATCGTATCTAATCAGAATGGACCTTCATAGTTTGCTACGAGTAAAATTTGAGAGTGAGGTGGAGGAGTACCTGCAAGACACTCTGATGCCATAGTAATTTTCGGAATGAGCAAGCAAGCAAGAGAGTAAGAAATATTCAATACCTGACTCTCTTGAAAGAGAGGCTATTTATAGTCCCCAATGCTGGGTCAATGTCTCCTCATTGGGCTGGTCCAGTAGACCCAACATGGAGACTGCTAGATCCTACGTGAGCAGTGGGGACCCGCACGTGGTCCCCCACCTGGATGACTTCCTCCGCAAGATCAGGAGGATATGGATGCGGTCTTTCCGGGGTCACGAAGACTCTGTGATATTTAGAGACGTCACTGTCAGCCCTACGAGGAGGATGCTTGCGAGGTACCCTTGTTCGTCGTGGAGGTCGCGGATGCTCCCCGCCAGACGCGAGTTCGTGCAAGGAGGTCAGTCTTGGTCGGGAAGGGAATCGGAGGTTGACCTCGAGGTCCCCCTGGCCGGTGGTGACCTTTCCCAAACTGAGTGGGTTCATCCCCGTGCGGTGAGGTTGCCTCCTCGCGGGGGCATGGAAGTTTCCTCCTCGAGTTCAGAATTCGCCAGTATATCCTAACCGATATAATTGGGTTGGGCCTCACATGGAGTCGGGCCAAGGGAAGGCCCAGTCCAGAACAGGAGCCCTCCAAGTCGTTGCTCCTAAAGAAGGAGTTATGACTTAAGACCAGCTTTTTCTTTCGTGAGGAGAGCTGCTCGGTGCGGAACTTTCATTGAATTGACGGAGAGGGTCTTCGGTAATGGAGAGGGTCGTCGGTACGCAGTTTTAACCGTGCAGCATTCGGAAAGGATTCGGGGTGGAATTGTTCTAATTGTTTCTCGACTTGCATGGAGGAGATAATACTCTTATCAGACACATGGCGTGAACTTTGGGATAATAATGATGGCCTAGGAAATATGGGTCATCATTGACTGAGCACGTAGGTGTCAAGGAAAAGGAGGCTAGTTAGCTGCCCGACGCGACGCTTCGCATTCCACATCAGATCCATAAATAGCGCCTCAAGACCCATTATTCATATTTATATTTTCGCGCTCTTCATTCTCTCTGCTGCCAACGCTGTGCCGTTCTCTGTAACCGCTGAAGCCGCCGCACCGTCCGCTGCCTGTTCCTCACCTACCACCGCCGTTCTTCATCCAATCTTTTTCAAGTAAGTATTTTTTCCGTGATACTTTGTATGTAAATTGGTTTTGATGATGATTTAGTAGTAGGACTTTGCAACTCGGGGGTTTTTCCCAGAGAATCCATGTGTCTAGGTGTATAATTCCTGATTATATATGTGATATTCATCTTATCTTTGACGTTTAGATGAATCATCCCCGTGGTCTCCCTATGTCCTCGCGAAACTCATGATTTTTGTACATAAAACTGTTGCGATCCCCGATGAATTCATGAGTTTGGTTGACAAGTTTATGAGTTTGGTCGGCAGATTCATACTATGCTCGTCGCACTCTTCCCAAGACTGGGGTATTCATAAATAGTATTCATCGTTACGGTCGTTGTGTGGTTACGATCGTCGTGTGGTCTTATAAGACTGACATGATTTTCATGGTCTGGCCGAGAGCCATGTATTTCCCCTTTATGCGCGAACGACAGTCGACTTGGTTTGGGCGTTGCTTAGCCTTTTCATCTGCGTCGTGGAAAGATGGATTTGAATTTGTTGTCGAATTCACTGGTTTCCTCTGCTTTACAGCTAAATGGTTGAAACTCCCGAATCGTCAGAGCATATGGACACTAAAGAGACCAGCGTAGCCGAGGAGGGTGTCAATTTGGCGACACAATCGACGATCCTGCTTTGGATTGGGTCTGTGCAGAGCCTCGAGGAATAGCCTCGATATATAGTTATATTGTATATTGTCGTCGAGTATGGTGGCGACCAGGAAGGTTTCCAAAGGAACTTCAAAATCATGAGGCCGACGCATGCAGCTCGCATATGATCGGAGTTCACCCATGATGCCTTCCTTATGTACGAGGTCATGTTTAAAGACTTGGGACTTCGACTTCCCTTCAACGATTTCCAAGTGGGGGTGCTCAATCACTTGAACTTAGCACCCTCCCAGCTTCATCCCAATGCTATTGCCTTCATCCGGGCATTTGAACTTACTTGTCGGTTCCTGAGGATCAGGGCGACCATTCCTTTGTTCTTCAAGGGTTTTCACCTACAACGGCAGTCCCGAGGAGGGAAACACAGTTGGGTCTCCCTCAAACATTTGAAGAGGTTGTTCAGGATGTATATGGACTCTGTCCGGGACTTTAAAGACAGGTGGTATGTCTTGCAACCCTCTACTCAAATAGTTGTGGACGCCATGTTCGACCCGACTTCCGTTGTGGACGAGGATGGAGAACCGTGCTACGACGCCGAGGGTAATCCAGAGATCGGGAAATCACGAGAGAAGGACACGACATCCTTGATGAATACGGTGAGCCGATGTTCGAGGCACGCCCGATCAACACCAAGGTGTTGGTCGAGTGTCGATCTTATAGACAGGCTGTGGAACTTTTAGGTTTTTGCTTACGTGGTTCTTATATTTTTACTTGCTTTCTTTTGTTTTTTTTTTCGAGGCTGACCTGAGGATACCGTTTTTATTTTTACGGGCAACATGGCGGAACATCGCGAGAGGCTGTTGAAGCTGACCCATGAGAAGAAAAGCAACAAGAGGTTGGTTAAGCCGCATCATCCTACATGCATGGGTTCAGTCTCTGATCTGGCCAAGGACGGATCCAGCGGGTCATCGGGAACCCGCAGTGCTGACCAACAAGCTGTTGTGTCGGGCAGGAAGAGGAGTCGCCTCGTAGATGGGGCTGCTGGTGTGACCGGAGGGGCGGCTGCCCGAGCCTTCAGCCTCCCGCCTTGCTTTGTGGAGATGGATTTCTTTGAGGGTTTCCCCCTAATGATGTCCGACAACGAGTCTGGCATTATAAGGCTCCTCGACGATGAAGGTCGAAGGAAGCATTTGGCTTCCAGTATGGTCAGGGTGATGAAGATGGCAGAGATGGTTGTGGTCCTCGCGGGTGAAGGGGTCAGCTCCTCTAGTCGGGTCAGGGAACTGAAGTCAGAGAACATGACTCTTCAAACGAAGACGCAAAAGCTAAAGACCGCCCTTGAATGGAGCGAAGAGATGTTTCAGGAACAGGCTGATGCTCTGGCGGGGGAGAAAGAGAGATCCGACAAAGCCCTCGAGGAAAAGGATTGCCTCCTGCTCGATAGAGGATTGTGGGAGAGCGAAAGGGAGCGGATGGAGAGGGAAGTTGCTGATCTGAAGGCTGATATGGAGCCCGCGGAGGACGAGCCCGAGAGTGTAATTGATTTGCGCAATCGCGCATATTTTGTTTCTCGGATTCAGATTCTCGAGTCGGACTGCATCGACGCCTTGGCCGACGGTTTCGAAGCTGTCGTGAACTATCTGTCCGCTCTGAACTCGGTAGCGTCTAGCATGAAGGCTCTAGTCAAGCACTCACCACTGAAGCGTGATATATTCTAAATAATTTTAAAATGATCTATATTTGAAAATTATGTAACAACTTATTTTAAAATTAAAAATATTTATTTTAAGTGTTATTTTTATTATTATAATTTCAAAATAACAATAAAATATGAGAGAATATTTTAATTTAAGAAAATATATATAACTGAATTAATGATTGATTTGTTATATTAATTTGTTTAAAATAATATTTTATTTCATAAATATAGCATGAAAATAAGTTTTAGGATAGGTCACATAGAACTATAAGATGATGTGACAAATTTTAAAATTATATTTATGATGCGTTAGGATTATAATTGACGATGTATTGCTATAATATTTCCTATTAGATTTAATATATTATATAAATATAGATTTATCATTTTTAATTATCAAAATTGGACATGTATGAAGAAAAAAAAAAACACCAATACAAGTTTCCAAGTGAAACTTTTAAATAACAATTGCAAGTTATAAAAATGAAGTGATTTTTTTCCTTACAAAACTACATGATATTATTAAAAGTTTACCATTAAGTAGTTGTTACATGATTTTCAAACTACCATTATATTGAACCTCATTATTGTACCATGCATATCAAACTACCATCAATACTATGACATAAAAAAAACTAACCATTGACTATCTTGATGACACCTTTGTAATTATAAATGTAAGATTTAGAAAAATAAATGAAGAAAGTAAACCCCACCACACTTAATCCAGAAAGTAGCCAA